GAGAAAGACGAGCGTGTGCGGGGTGGGAGTACCCCGGAGCTTTGGGACACTGGTGGGGCTCCGCGCGAGAGGAGGGTTGGGATCGGGACACGGCGGGTGAAGGGGGCCACAGAGGACGTTTGTCCACGTTCACTCATCGACACACACGCTCGCACCGGTGCGCGCGTTCACTGTCGTGCAAGAAAGCTCTTTTCTGACCTCTCTCTTTTCCACTTGTCTGTATTGCAGCGCTGGCGCGACTGTCAAGCATCCACCACCAACAGCAGCAGCACCAGCAGCAGCAGCAGCAGCAGCAGCAGCAGCAGCAGGCTCAACAGCAACAACAGCGGCTGAGCGGTGGTGGTGCCGGCAGTGGGGATGTCGTCTCCAGCCCTCGTCCCGCTGGTAGGGAGGACAAAAGCGTCGTAGGGAGGGTAAAGCATCCGGCGACGACGACGTCGACGACGACGACGGCGACGCCGACGACGACGACAGCACCCGCGGCCGACGGTGGAGGCGGTGGGTTGGCGGCGGAGGAGGTGGAGGCGGCGGTAGTAGTGGTGGTGGTGGTGGTAGTGGTGGTGGCAGCAGTGACAGTGGTAGTAGTGGCGGCGGCAACTCTGGTGGGGATCGTAACGGCGGCGGTGGTAGTGGAGGTGGTTGTGCCGGTGGTGGTGGCGAAGTCGCGGAGAAGGAGGAGAGGCCACCGGCTTCAGAGACTGTCGAGCCGACGGCCGCGTTTGACGTCGCATCCCTCGTACTCTACGGCTCGCGCGCACTGCCGATACGCCTTAAGATCTTGCTCGATCAGTTGTTCAACCAGTTGCCCGCCGCGCAAGTGACACGTATCCTAGCTGCCTTCGGCTGGACCCACGAGGATTACACGCGAGGATACATACTGCAGGTGAGTTGACACGTTCGAATTCACCTGACATACACACAGACGCACACACTCCGTCGTTTGTCGCGCGCGCGTCGGGACCCGCGAGAGTCGCCCCTCCGCCGGGGGTTGAATATCGCATCACCGCGAATCTACGATACACCCGCGACGACGCATCCGCTCGCTCAACCACGTGACGACGACGCCGAGACTTTGACGTGCCGCACTTGGACGCCCGCCGGAGTGACACGCGGTTGACGTTTCGCGCGCGACGATCAGCTGCGCTGCGAAGCGAGACGAGACGAGAAATGTAAAAGCGCGCCTTCGATTTTTGGATTACCTCCAGATGTAACAGCGACCGCGAGAGAGATGATCATTATTTCGGTGACATTTGTCGTGAGTAGATGCTCCTCGCGCTTTGGCAGCCGACAGGTAATCTGACCAAGTTCGTACCGACGCGAATATTTTCGCACACACGCTGACGTGAATCGAGACCTTTCAAATTGTCGGCGGGGAAAACGTTACGTAATGCTCGTGTATTCGGTCACTTCTAATCACTAATGATGTTCTGCACACAATACGCGATGTTAAATCCTCGATAGGATAAAATGCAGCTGTCAACGTGCACTAATCTCCTACCGATCGGTCAATAAAATCAAATCACTTTGATATTTTACGGTGATCATATATAAAATACAGTCGTGTGACAAATCGTAATAACATAAAAAAATTAAAAAAAAACAGAGAACGACGATGACAGTGAGGACAGAGTTGAACGACGAGCAGTGCATCGAACAGTGCATCGGATGTCAGTGCAAGTGGTGTGAGCGACGTCGGAGCGGAGGATCGAGAGATACACCGACCTGAAGAGAAATACCTGCACGGTAACATGTAAATTCCAATGGGAGTTCCGTCGGCCGCATCCGCTACATCGAAGAGGACGGAAACGACGAAGGAAGTCATCGAGGAGAGCAAGAAGATGTGGTCTCGCGAGGAGAATCGACCTGTCTATCGAAAAAGTCACTCGGAGCGACGCATGATCGAGCTTTGTTGTGCGTCGCCAAAGTGCTGGTTTTCTTAATTCAAAATTTTTTCGGAAAAGAAATCCAAATTTCGGTGAGAAATAACGAAAACTTATCGGATATATTAAGCGTCTAGAAAAATATTTGTCGATGTGGACTTCGTCCGATTATTTGTCGGCTGCCAAAGCGCACGGAGCACCTACTCACGGAAAATGTCACCGAAATAACAATCATATCTCTGAAAGAAAAACACTCAGAATTCGGAGATAACGACGTACAGCTCTGCTGCATAATAATTCAATATAAATCGTTACATAAAAATGTTGTCATTTGTGTGACTGTGTTGAAACAGCATCATTTCTCTGCAAACATCGTAAATTTTTGCATGACAATTGGATGTTATTTAACAAACACAGTGGAAAGATTTTTCAATTGACATTTTCCTCATCCTGATATCTTGATCGTAATCGAATCCGGTTTTCTCTCGCTACTGATTTCTGCGATGTTCACCGTGCGATCATCACGTTTCCTTGGATCAACGGATGATGGTCGGAGCATACTAATGGACTGTTCGTCTTTAATCGATAGTGTGCGTCGATCAGTGGAAAAGAAGTGAAACTTTAACCGCGAATTGTCGATCAACACGGCAACTATCGGTTTTTAACTCTTGATGGTGTCAAAACGAGACTGTTATCGTCGTTAAAAATAGTGCTGTTTGGACATTCGTCTCTGTGAACGAAAGTTTGTCAAAAAGATTTCGTGAAAACGTAAAAGAATATTATCTAAAAATAAAAAAAAAACGCTATTTAAAATTTTAAATTTAAAATAAAATTTTAAGCTAACTTGCATCTAAAAGTAATAATTCATAATTCTATGCGACGTTAAACATAAATCGAGCAGTTGTAATTATACGGATGTTTAATTTGTAAGTGAGAAAGAAATACGATACTTTGAACAAAGTTGTAAAAACATGATGTGTTGGAATAATAAGTGCGATCGATCTTTGATGATGATAAATTATGCATCTAGATAATTGGTCGTAATTTTTATATTTCATTCAGAAAAAATTATTTCATATCGTAGCACGCAGCGCCAGGTGCAATCTGTGAGTGATTAAAATAGAAATGACATTCTTAGACAACAAATCCAATACTCGCGTCGTATTCTGCTGAGATTATTATATCGCGCCAATCTCAAAGGCGTATCGAGCTAATTAACCGATCTTTATATTTTATTCAACAATCGACTTTGTAATATGACAGATCGCGCGGCATATAATGTGCAAATAATCGAATTGCAGACAATTTTCTGAAACGATAAAATTATAATTTGTTTCAATACATTTTATCGCGATAACGCATTCTATTGCTCACATTTTGATTTAAAGATAATTGCCAAGAAGCAATGACGCATCGAGGCAATCGTAGAAAATTTGCACGTAAAAACTTGATTTCGCAGCGATCTCATAGATTTCATATGTCACGTAGCGCTTCGTGCCGCGAAGCTCCAAAAACACGCACCGCCGTGCGTTAATCTTGCGAGACGCGCGCGCGTTAGGAAACGAAGAGTATCCGTGTAAACTGAATTGCGCCGATGTCGGCGTGAAATTAAAACGTACAGGAAACCGGTTTCTCGCGGACGACGGTACTATGTACGTATGCACCGCGGCGATGCGCTTGTCCGTTGCAGCGGCTCCGCAAAGGCGTGGGTACTGAGAGAGCGTGCGCGCGAGCGCTAGAATTTAATCGGAATAAATTTCAGTTAGCGTGAAGAAGAGAGAAAAACGAGCGACGTCGGATTGTCGCACGCGATGTGCAAAAAACCTTGAAAGTTCCTCTCGAACGTCGAAAAATGTTCCTTGAAAAAGCGACCGGGATGACACGTGCGGGCCACATACGCGTGCACGCTATCGCGCGCTCTCGTTTTGTTTACTTTCGTTTTGTCGAACAAATTTAAACCGAAATTTAAGCTCGTTAGAGTTCGCGTGACGATACACTTCGAAACTCTATTAGCTTCGTACTCCTCCTGGTACTCGGACCGTTCGGTATTCACCGTTTAGGTATTTCGTCGCCATGAGCGAGCCCGACGAAGACACGCGATTGTCCGGAACGGATGTCGAAATACACGCTCCGATAGCGATCCGTTACGTCTCTCTAACAAGTCGAAGCGCCGAGAATGACATAGATCCAACTGTCATAACGTAGTTGCGGCAAGATTAAATTAGCGTCATAGTTCTAACGGGGAATGTTTTCTAACTATTCCCGTGATTATTGTCAAAATAATACAGCACTGTTTGACACACGCTACTGCGGTGAACAAGGTGCTTCTTTGAGTCATAGAACTTTGCTTTCCGCGAGAATGTTTAGTATGTGTCATTGAGATAGATGTAGGTATCACATTTGTTTCTCCCAAAATTTTCATAATAAAGAAGAAGCAATTATATATAATTGATAAAGTTGATGAAGAAAATCGTTGAAGTTTAATGAGTACGTTAGTGCCAATTATTTATGTGAATTACTCTGATTTTTTTATTACAAAATTAGCCACTTGTTGTTTAGGATCTACATCATTCCGAGCGCTTCAATTTTTAATGTTGCTCGCGCGGAAAATAGACCCGAGTTTTGCCATGCAACTTTGTGCCGTCATAATTGCCGACAATGTCGAAAACACGTTTACATATCAAGCACCGTCAGAATATCGATCGGTTGCAAAATTCTATCGGTTGATGCATCACGATTCTCGAGTCGTTAATTCCCAATCTGCGACGGCGATTTAGTAAAAAAACAAAGTCATAAACTGTAGATATTTCGCTTGGAATATGCATCTCTCCGAGCCGTCAATAGCATTTTCGCGGTCAAACGATGGTTTATGACTCATTATGAAAGCACCTTCGTCGAGTAGCTAATTCCTAATCATCGTGTACAACGCGAAAGTATCGCTCAGGAATTAGGAACCTTCGGATTTGCATCCTCTTCCACATCTGGCGAACTTCTTGCGGTCGAGCGCTACTTTACGGCTCGTTACCAGAATATCTTGCCCGAGTCGCGCGAGACTTCCTGAATCACGATCCTACTAGCGCGGAAGAATGTCACGTTGGGAGATTGATTTATGAGAGACCGAGAGACTTCAGCTCTGCTCCGGATTTGCATCTCGGTATGTAAGCTATCTCCGAGAGCGTTGCTTTATGACTCGTGTCGCAAGACTTTCATGGATCATGATCTATACGGCAACAGTGTCTCCTGGCGAGTCGGTCTGCTATCGGAATCTCCGTCACGAGCTATAGGATTCCTGAATCATGATGTATAACCAGAAGATTTGCCTCTCAGCATGTAAAGTTCATGTCTCCTTACAAGACATATCTCTTTCGGACATTCTAAATCGCAATGCATAGCGCAATACCGTCGAATGCAAAGGCGGAACAATTTTTGCTCGGCGAGAGTTTCTTATCGCAATCTATCGTAAGAATTCTGAATTATCGATGACACAGAAGTGTCGTTTCCGGGAAGCGATCTGCGAGCCAACAAGAACTTCAGTTCGTGCTCCCGATCTGCGTCGTGATGCATAACGCAAGACTGTCTTTTCCGAGAGGAGTAATCTACGAGCAACCGGGAACTTCAACCGTGCACCGAATTTGCATGTTCTATGCGCTAGTAAAGTTTTCGCGGTCGAGGGCCGCTTTATGACTCGCCACGGTGGAATATCTTCTACGAAGGAGCACGCTCGGGAAGATCGTCCTCATGGCGCGGACGTGGAAACGGTAAATCACGGCTCGGCGGACCGACCGGAGCAAGGGTGATCGTCGAAGAACGCGTTTCGCGCAGGCCAATTTCGCACGTTGCAGCCGTGTTGCGCGAGCAACGGAAGCGGTTGCAGCGACCCGTTCGCAACGACGGCTAGGCGGAATAAAGTGGAATTTTACGGAGGCCGTTCGGCTACCACCGATTCTGCAGCTTTATGACGAATCTTGCGACGGAGAAAGAGGCGAACTTAGGAACGCAAAACCGCCTCTTCGCCGTCATGGTAGCGCGAGATTTACGAGCGAGTTGCGCGTCGGCGAGCGAGTTGTGCGAATCATGAGGATCTACGCATCCTCGATCGAAAAAGTATTGAAAACATCATCGATGCGATAATCATGAAACATGAAATGGCGAACAACATGGTGATAAATAATAATCAGTTTTCAATAATCTTTTATTTGATGATAAGATTAAAAATCTCCAAAATTTCTACTCTATTTGAGTGACAAATTTTAGTGGAGTGTTTTTAGTGAAGTTTTACTTACGGAAAGTGTTTCCAGATATTTTATCAATACTTCTGAAATAAATATAAGATATTTTTGATGTAAAGGAAATCTGTAGATTCATCTCTCTTAAACTTAGTTATGGTTGAACATAGATTACGTATAAACCAGCCAAAAAATCTTTAAAAAGAAAAGAGACATAACATTCTTAATACTTGCCAATGATCGGAATGTATTCGAATTCGAGAAAAAAAGATAATCTCTTGTGGTAATGGTCTTGCGGTAATGGTCGACATTGTAAAAAATATTTTTCTAACGATATCCTAAACAAGAAAAGATAAATAGATAAAAGATAAGATTTGTCTGGTCGATAAAAGGAGAAATTATAACCATCTAAGTTGGAAACATCATATATCGAAATCATAAAGTTTTCTCTTAAAGAATAATTGAAATAAATGTATTAAAAATATATATAAGAGTTAAAGCTTGTCAAAAATGTTATATTTTAATTAATATAGTAATAGCAATCTTATAATAATCTGCTCACAATTTGACATAAAATTAATCAAATAAATCTTAAATCGCCAACGATCAAAATAGATTAACAGTTGCTAATTACTGCAGCTGCACACTGAAAATTAATTTCGATATTCTCTCATAAATAAATTCTCCGAGATACTTCTTGACGATACATAGATACATCCATCAACGTAGTTTCGTTCGTCGATCGAATTCAGGCAGAAAAATCGAGGACGATGTGGAGTCCTTCACCGGGTGGTCCGTGGTTTCCAAAAACCCGTCAAAATCTCGCCTGACTGAAAACCGATCGTCGCTGCGGCGATTGTCGAGCGTCACGTGGAATCGTAATGTCGAAAGTGGCGACGTAAAGCAGACAAGGGAAGAACCGGGCGGCGGAGACCGGTGGAGATAGTAGCCCAGAGACGATCGACCTGTCATTACTCCACCTCGATGGGAAACATGAGTCAAAACCGTAAATTACAGAGCCATCTCGAAGACGATTCGAGGGTACCGATCCGGGAGTGTTTGCCAGATGAGAGGGGTGCAAACGGGGGGAATGGAGGAAGGGAGAACAGGGAGGATCGGCCGTCGCGGGTCGAGCACTCGAGCGGAAACGCAAAATCTGGCGCGCGCAATCGGCGAATTAAAACTTCGACATGCCATTTACATGGCTACCGAAACGACTGAGTCGAAATGACGATGACGACGGGAGGATGGGGGGAAAAGGAAAGGAGAGAGCGGGATGATCAGGGCAATACGAGAAAAATTATAGAGCGCGAGACAGGATCGGTTTCTGACAAAAAGTATAACTCGATGACAGGATTGTCGAACGCAATCAAGATGCGCGCAAGTCGAAATGTCGGTCGGTGATTATGGATATCTCGCGCGCGCGGATGATAGAGGGATTTCGTGTGATGTAAATAAAACTAGGAAAGGAAACAAATGATGATTCCGTTGAATCATGAACACTTGCGAGCCGCGGCTTAACATACACATCTTCGAAAGTCAAAATAAATCACGCAACATTTATAGACATGCATATATTTCGAGAGACGCACATAAATATGTGTGAGAGATCTCCGAGCTGCAATTAATCACAAATACCTTTCTAATTATAACTTTTTAATTATAATTGATTTCGAATTTTTTTTCTTTCTTGGTCCGCGTGAGTTCTAAAATATACTCGTGCCTTTTCTCGTTTTATCCAAGCCGATTCGTGCTCCGCGCTTGCGAAAATCTCAAAACATGACGTTAACGAAGGCATGTGTGACGTGCAAAGTATCAAAATTCCGTTCGCGTCGAATATCACGTTAGCGTTTATTTATATTAGCGATGAAACACCGTTATCCCCTTGCGATCGTGGCGATACGGCTAATCGCCAACGATTGGCCGCGATGTCTCCGGCCTGGTGAGGACATGGATCACCACGACGACGACGACGGCGACGATGACGACGGGAAACGTGTTTCGAATGTAAATCGTTCGCACATGGCGCTTCGGCGTGGCCAGTGCCTCTCGAACGCACACACATCGAGATGTGCTTCGGGCTGTGGATGCGTTTCGGTGCCCGGCGCCCGGGGCGACTCTCGAACGAATTACTCGACGATAATGTCAGCGTTAAACGTACAAGATCGAGCGATCAGAGTCACATTGTTCATCCTTCGATGTTGCATTTACGGCACCGGATCCGCCATCCGATATCGCTTGCGGCCGGAATAACTTACGACGCGAGTCCGTGCTCTCGCGGGCTCTTTCGTGTTTCTCTTTCTCTCTCTCAGTTTGTCACGCATTCACGACGCGCATTCAGCAACAAATGCGACCGTTCGCGGCTCTGAGTTTTGTCAATATGATACAATATGATTAATATCTATGAAATTATTTTCCGTAGTTGTTTAACGGAGTGTCACGTATGTCGGCATATCCGCGAGTCCCATGCGGCATATAAGAGGTTCGGAACAAAAATGACGCAAGTAGAAAATAGACCAACGTTGTTGCGTATCGCGCAGTTTCGAGATCGCATTTGTAAATTATGATCTCCGCACGACATGATGTAATCGATATCAAAGCGATTCCCGCTACACTTTAGTCTTAAATTAAAACTCAACTCTCGCATTTTTTAGTTTTATTTGTCGGATGCATTCGACATTGGAAAAGACGAAAATCAAACCTTCTTCGAGCAGTCAATTTTTTAAATATAAAAATTTATATTCTTATGTTAAATGTTAAATAGTTTTAAATTTTACTTGTACATTCGATTTAAAAAGAGACGAAAATTAAACTTTCCTGAAACGGTCAATCTTTCTGAAAATCTGCGAAAGAAAAATTTCTTAATCGCGGGCGAAGTCGCAAAAGTCGCCATTTTCACGGCTTTAAGCGGTAAGCCGCGACGGTGAAACTCCGCGTTGCATCGAGGTTGCGTTTTACGACGTGCCGGTGGCCGAGCTCGTCGGATCTCCGACGACTTCGCCAACAGTTTCTCTTCGCGATCGTCACATCGCTAACGAGAGCGCGTGAGTAAAGTCGAAATAAAACGGCGCAGTTGTGGTGGCCGCGACAAAGAGCTAGAGAGTGAATCAAAGAGAACATTGAGAGAGAGAGAGAGAGAAAAGGAGATGAAACAAGAGTGCCAGAAAGAGAGGAGGAGGAGGAGGACAGAGGATAGACGCAGGTAGCTGCAATCCAATTTAGCGGCGGATATCCACGCGAGATCTTTACGATTTCTACCCACGAATAAGACAGGGACCACTTACCGTGAAATCATATGCAGTGTCCAGTCACGGATGCCATTGCCGCCGCCGCCGCCGCCTCCACCGCCTCCGCGTCGATTGCCGTCGCTTCCTCCGCGGTGAAAACCGAACTGCGTCGTACAACGCGCCGGCGATTGCGTCGCCAGATGGCAGTACAGACTGGAACAAACGAGGTCTGGCTAATGAGATGCATATTCCACTGCCGTGATTGGCATCGCTGTATTCGAATAATTAATGATATATAATCGGAAATAAATTCTTTTTAATTTACAAATAATAAATTTATATATTAAATCAACTTTTCTGACAAATTAACATCCAGTGTTGGATTAAAAATATTATTCGTCTGAGAAGAAGCGACTTACGTGCGTAAATCTGTTCATCTAAAAGCTTTGCAGTCTCTTCTTTTTTTTTTTTTTTTTTAATGTTTATTAAGGAGTAGGAATAATAGTCCCATCAATTAACAACTAATAATAATACAAAGTAAACGACGTACACAGGGAATTGCGTGAACGTTGCGGGAATTATGCGAATCATACGCGAAACACGAGGATTGAGAGAAACGTAATGAGCGAGCGAGTAAAACGAGGTTTATCTTACTTCTTCGACTCTCGTAATTATCCATTATGCAATAACGCGGTAATGGTTTGCGTCTCGTTCTTGACGCCTCCTTTATTCCCGTGTACCCAGCCACTAAAGTTCCCAGGGTCCCGCGTCGCGCTTCGTATACGCGAAACACTCAGACGCACGCTATTATTTAAATTAACTACTACCTATTCGAATTTAATTAAAGGCACCCCTGAGCTTCCTCCGAAAGACAAAGGGAATTTTGAATACGTACACGTTGTTGTACACTCTGCATTCGGTGCAATCGTTCCATTTACTTCGCAAAGTTACGCTCGTATTAAAAATCTATAATTATGTTAGGAGGCGCGAGTTTTTAAATATTAATTAACTTTACAAGTTACGTACTTATGCCAGATATATTAAATAAGTTCTAAAATACTGTTAATAAACGATGTTCCCTCTCACGATTGCGATAACCCGATATTGCAATATTCAAGATTGAAATTAATGAATATAAATGATATTTTCATATGAGAATGTAGATAGGATTAAATTGATTTTAAATATTGTTTACGGAGACATGAATAATTTTTGCAATAAAAATATGTAAATCAAATTAATTTTCCGATTTTAATATTAAATTTTTATTAAAATATAATGTAGAAGTGAGGAGCGGTCTTCTCTTAACTTTAATTTTAATTATGTTATATATAATTATTATTTTAATAACCAAGATCCAAGTATATTTCAGAAATAGAGGCTGCGGTAAGAATTTCTCGTCTCCCTGAATTTTCATCGTCAAGACCGCTTTTCGTCATGATCCACCGACCTCGCCCACACCGTTTCACACTCATTTCGCGTCCCATCGGACACGCGGGAGCACACGGAACGGCGAAATTCCACGCTGCGGAATTCGGCCGTGGAGGGGATGAGAGAGGGAGGTCGAGCGTTGTCGGAACGGTCTTCATTCGCGTGCGGGATTAAAATTCGAGTCCCACGGTACACGGTAGTCTTGCGTTCTCAGACACGACCGTTCGGGTCCTTTCACGTAAAGACGAGAGGCGCGTTTAAGCGCTTCGCGGAACCCTTTTTTTTCGTCTCTGCCCCCCAAACGTCACGCACGCGTGTATGGTACGGCCGCGGGTGAACGATGACGCGCGCTCCGTCCGATCCTTCGTAAAGTAGCGAATCTATGGGAAAAGCATCCTCGGCCTTCGAGATTGCTCTCTCTCTCTCTCAAGGATCGACAGCTATTGGAAGTGGCAGGCGCGATGTAAAGTCTCGAAAATAGCACACTGTTTTTGTTTCTTTTTCAATTCCGAGATCTATTCTCGATGGTTACACAAAGAACGACGAGAAATCACTAGCAAAGCTCAAAGCCAGGATAATTTCAATAAATTTAAAATTTTTATTACATTTATTCATGGGTATGCAAGAAAAATATTGCGGGAACATTCAACTTTTCACGAAACAAAGACTTCTTAGTTGTAAGTTTGATGGATAACTAAAGTCTCTCACCAATTATAACGAAATTACGCTTCAGAGTTGAGGCTTGCAGAATCTTGCATCTTGTGCGTGTTCAATTAATACTGCATTAGGCATTAAGGCGTGCAGCGATTCGCGAAGGCATTTTACATAACTTTCAATAAAGAATAAATACCGTTGCAGTGCAAGATTTTGTCGCGTGTAGATTGCCCGGTGATCGATGGGAGAAAATGAACGGTCGCAAAGAATGGCGTAACAAATTCCCATACGCGGTATCACAATGCGCATAAAAATTCTCAAATTGCATACATCGCGCGCGGAGACGAGCAACCGGAGAAAACGTCGTCGCGCACTCGTGGACACATGAGAAACGGTGTGACATTACTCGCGCCTCATCAAACGATAATCTATGCGATCTACAAGAGAAATAATATACGGTACGACGTCACAGCTGTCGCTGCCACGTGAAGTTTGATTACCGTCGGCAGAAATAAAAATCGGAAAATTACACTTCGTAGCGGTACGGCCGAGCGTTATTCATTGTCTTTCCATCCATATGGTTTCAATTATCTTCAGGATGTTTGGAGACTATCAAGCGTTTTCTGCATAAATGTCGTTTAGCATTTTTGCAGAAAATTGATTTTTACTCATCTTAATGTGTGTATAATTCTTTACATAATGATATTTCCTCGCGAGCGCATACGTGATAACTTTATGGAATACAAATTATTTTTTAAACGATACCTCCCCCCCCCCATTAACTTATGCTTATATATTTTTTAATATATATTTTGCAATATTTTCTATGCAAATATTTTCTGATATTCTTTTATCATTTCGGGCCAGACATCCTCTCTCTTTATTTATTGACGGAATAGGATGGATGAACTGAATTTTAGAATATGCCGCGTACAAAACGGTATTCCACTTTATACGATGTATACAAGTACTGTTTATTTTATAACAAAAAAAAAAAAAAAAAGGATACTTTACAAATAGATCTGCGAGATCGAGGTGCCGATCGAGCTCCATGACGGCGCCGAATCGATTCTATCAAAGAGAACAAAAACTTCGTGGCAGCGCCTATTATGTCCGCCGGCGCGATCGCCGGCATTCGTCTGACATTCTTTATTTTTGCGGTTTCGCCCGGGGCGAAAAATAACGACGTCGTTCCCGCGATCGAATCCGGAGTGGCGGCGGTCACGAGTGTCCGCCGATGAGTGTGTCTCTCATTCTCGGCCGTGTGCGTGCGATATACGGTGGCGCGTGCGCGCGCTGAAGAAATATACACGGGACGCGAAAAGCGTCGCGGCGCTGGGCGTCCTGCGTTACGTCGAGGTCCGTCGGAATGCATAAATATACAATCCGCGGAGAGAGAAGGAGGCAAAGGAGGGAAGGAGACAAACTTGCGCTCCATATACGCGGCCACCCTGAATTTATAAGAAGCCGTGACTCCACACGAGCGCGATACGTGACGTCCATGTGGAACGTCGAAAGCGTATCGCCAGATTTACGCTTCTCCCGACAGGATACGTATCTCACCGAGAGAGAGAGAGAGAGAGAGAGAGAGAGAGAGAGAGAGAGAGAGAGAGAGAGAGAGAGAGAGTAGTAGTTAGTTAGTAGTA